AAAAAAAAAGAAAGAAAGCCACTTTTTACTCCGGCCTCTCCTCACGCACACACATTCCTCATTCCTCTCCCTTGCACAGCCCTGGCCCACACCAGCCTGGAGCGCAGCGCCCGCTGAGCTGCCCAGCGCGGCCGGTTCGATGGCCGCAGCCCCCAGCGCCCGCTCCGTTCCCACCCGCCGGAACGCCTGCAGGGGTCACACCTCTTGGGAGCCACCACTTAAGAACATCAGAATCAAACAGGAAAAAACAAAGCACAAGCAAAAAGAGAAGCAAATCTTGACCAGACTTTGTTCAGATATGGACATATACGCAGCTGGGTGTCTGCTGATATCTTTAATTAAGGAGCAGCTCTTCAAAAGCTCATCCTCCTACAGCTGCAAATACAAAGGAGTACCAGATGGCAGGATATTCAGGTGTTCCAGGACCTCACAGACTTTCAGGAGAACCCAGGACTACTTAAAAATCAGCCATTTCATGGAGTGCCCAAGCATAGTGAGACTTGAGGAAGCAAGAGCAGGAGCAGCAGGTTTAAGAGGCACAGTCAGTACTGGAGCTCCACCCAGTGGTCATTTTTTATCCCCTTGGATACAGAAGCCATCCAGTTTTCCCTGCGGGAGAGAGGAGGCGGATGACTGGGAAGCTCCTGTACCTCCTGTGACACAAACCATACAGGAACATCACAACTTGTCCAAGCTTAACTGTTCCCAGTGTGCAGCAGAGGGCAAAACTGCAGGCCCTGCTCAGCGCTGCAGGATGACACAACCTAGCTCAAGGGAGGTGAGCACCTCCGAGAGACAGTGGTATCCTTACCAGGATTTTGTCTTTCTGATCTCTTGTACATTTTGCACCAGCCTGTCTGTCCAGTTCACACAAGTTGTAAAGGAAGCAGAAGAGTAATAAAGGACTTTCTAGTGTTTCCTCTACTGACATTTCAGAAGCGCGCCCCAAAAATGTTTCCATCACAAGGTTATAAATGTCAAGGAAATGCTAGTTTTCACCTACATCTTTTCATGAATCAAGGACGTAGACACCTGCTCTTTGGAACCAAGATTTTAGTGTCTGAGGAGTTACATCTCCACAACAATTACAAAAATGTTTCACAATAAAAACCAGAGAAAAGACACGCTTCTGGCATCTTTAGGGAGTTTCATACATCAAGTAGTTTAAAAATTATCCCTTGAATGATCATGTGAAACTCCAATTTACCCAAAATGCTCGGCTAGCCACAAAGAGTTTTCTTTTTGCTTGCTGTTGAACAAATTCCCCACACTGACCACTGCACACCTCACGTTCCTGTCACGGAGCATAAGGAACATCAGTTTTGTCTCATAGGGACTAGCAGCACATTTACAGGGTTCCTGTCACTGTCTGCTTCTGCATCATTCTTAGGGCTCTTTCTTTTAGACCAAGATACGTGATGCATTTTGAGGCTCCTCAGAGGAAGACCTGAAACACAGCTAACAGCATGAGAAAGGTAAGCTGGATCTCCAAGAGCTTTAGCCCTGCTATCTGCAGATGTGGTGGCAATCGACTACCGACTGTGAGCGCACGCTGCCTTCAAACAGCAAACAAATGCCAACACCTTTCCCACTTCTATTGCAGATTAAAAACATACAGCTGCCTTTATTACTCCCAAATATTTTGCTGTTACACTTTCTAGTGAAAAAGAGTAACAAACTGTCCAGAGAAGGATCGTATCTCAAACTCTGAAAGAAAATAATGTATTAGTGAATGAACTCTCAAGAAATTATTTGCGTAAAAGTATGTTCTATTTACAAAAGTCAGCTTGTTCTTCAGGACAAGTAAAACCACTACTGCAAATAAAAGAGAAAAATCTATGGAAATGCCTCATCTTTGAAATAAACATTTACAAATGCTTTTTTCCATTTAAGCTACTAGAAACATTAAGACAGTTGAAATTGAGTGCATTTTGCATGCAGCTAGAGTACGAATTACATTGTTGGACTGGAGAGTGTCCGTTCTTATCACTGTCAATGATACTCTTAGGCTCTTTTAAAATGTCACAGCCTGGCTATTACCTTAGGGTCTCAAAAGGAGGACATGGATCTTCATTAACAAGTTAACAGTTTCTCTTCTTTCTGCCTTTAAAAGGGGCATCCTGATTGTCTTCAGAGCAGGAGAGTCTGGTCTTGCCCAACGTGGGGCCCTTTTCCCTGAGCTTCCTGTTAGGGTTTTGCTAGGCATGATGACTGTTGGCTGGGTGGATCTGCAAGTCCTTGCTCAGCTCCTTCCGTCATAAGGCAGAGTTCAGAAACTCGAGAAGCTCTGCGCGATTCCGGTCTCTCTGTAGGGCACAAAAGGAGAAGTCAGGGATTCCACAAACCTGTACTCAAAGGGCCATGGCTGCCTACGTCTCCTTGTGCATGGCAGGCTGCACAGCCGATGCGCTCACATTCCAGCGGCTGGATATTACTAGCTGCCAGCCAGCTGGGAACATCTGGAGCAAGCGCCAGGCAGCAGGTACCCAGGAGAGATGCTGCACGAGACAAGGTGCCACTGCCACAATTTCCACACAATTGCCACAAAAAAAAAAAAAAAAAAAAAAAAAAAAAAAAAGCTCCAAATAGTTAAAACACTTGATGTTCAGTTCAGCATATTCTTGCCTAACCCAGGCAAAGAGTGAATATCCTTGACACGTAAAGTTTTAACAAGGAGGTTACTGGGACAAGGCCAGCAAAGTCAGATTTGGCATACTTTAGCATAGACTCCAATGCCACCAAAAATAGCTTTGACTAAATTTAGCTCAGAATGCTTGCATGTATTTTGGCATCTATGGTATGAATCATCATGCCAAATCAGAATACAAACTGGACACCTCACCAAAGTAACACTTCACACATACCTACAAGCATGAGACACTCTTGTAGGTCACTCTAAGGGGTGGAAACTGCTGAAGAGAGTCTACTTATTATTTGTGCACTGAAGCTCACCACTCCTATCTATAGCCCAAGGTCCCTCGGGTTGTAAGTAAAAAAAAAAAAAAAAAAAAAAAAAAACACCCAAAATAAACAAAAATTTAAAAAAACAACAACAACAACAAAAAAAACACACAGCAAAACCTGACTGCTTTGAGAGAATGCATGAGTATGGGGATCTAATCTAATGTGAGTGTCTACACACTCACAGACACAAGCAGATGAAAGCAGCAGTTACCACACCTGATCATAAGAGACTGGAAAGAGAGGTTGACCGGTAAAAGCAGTGCAAGTTAATGAAAAGACTCAGACCTAAGCCTAGCAGTCAGTTAAGCCTAGCAGACTAATTCTGAATGCTCTACACAGGCCTGTCCAGCCATGCACAGATACTCCAAGCCCATGCACATATCACAAAACATTTGACCAAAAGAATGAATTCAGATTTCTCAGCTGGCACCACAGCCACCTAAAAACCTATATGCAACTTAAAACTCTTAAGTGTCAGATCTATTCCTCTGAAAAAGACAAATATTAGAAACAAACAACAACAAAAATATATGATTTTTTTCGGACACAGAGACTATTTTCAACCATCACCTCTTTATCCTTCTTCGTCTTCTTTATTTTCATCTTAATTTTCTTTCCTGTTATCATGCTGTAGTTCTCATTCTTCTTTTTGTTTTTCAAGAGCTAAAATGAAGTCATACATTAGAAGAAAGTAAGTTTTGCTTTATGTTGAAATGTTACAAATCTTAATGTTATAGAAGGTTAAAAAAATAGTCTAATCATTCCCAAAATAAAAAATGTTTTCATTTAATTACATAGATGAGAAATATATGATGTTAGATGCACATGAACATACCTTGGAAAGCTGGACAGGTCCTGCCTTCTCCTTCTTTTTCTTCTTTTCTTTCTTTTTCTTCAATTTGTTCTCCTTTTTCCTTTTCTGCAAGTAAAAGATATACATTCCAACTGTTTACATGTGGAAAAGGGAATATAAACCATGCCAAAGTAGCATTTTACTGCCCTGGCTAGTCAGACAGCCGCTACTGCTGCCCTTACCACTGCTGAAGATGTGCACAGAAGCACACAGAAAGCAGTGCTGCAAGGCCAGCAAGCCTTAAGATTCTGAAAAATATGCATGGCATGATTCATGATTCTATCTCTTTTTCTAATGTACTCCAAATATACAAAATTTCAGAAAAGAAGGTCCTATAGAAATGATAAAATCACAACAGTGAGAGCCTATTACTATCTTTCACTGACTACAGAATTTCATTTCTCTTCTAACCGAGGACTGCTCTAAATTCTCGATGACACAAATCTACAGCCTGGCAAAAGGAACGTTAAATTCTTTCTGCTTATCATAAAGTCAAGTTACTTATCAGCCAACTTGCTATTGCTCCCTGAAACTTGCTTCACAGGACTATAGCAACAGGCAAAGGCATTAAATCTGACATAAGATTTAAGGTTATGACGATCTATTTTCTGTTAACTGCTTATTTCTCTCAGCAAACCTTTACCTTTTTGTTGTGTTTTTCCTTTTTCCTTTTCTTTGATTTAGATTTAGGAGAATCTAAAAAAAAAAAAAAGCAATTTGAATATTCTGAGATTTGTTTTTACATATAAAGCATCTAGAGCATAAAACATACGAAAGATTCTATATGAAGTGAATATATAAAAGTCTGAAATTAGTCCTAAGAAATGCAATGCATTAGCTTACAGCCACTTACTGATCTAACATGGACACTGAAAATACATGATTTCCTCAGAGAGTACTGAGTTCACAAATAGGAACATTTTCAAGAAATGGTGTCAAACGCTTTGAATCAGTCACTGAAGTAAGTGAACAAGTCTACTAATTCCATATGGACATTAAATTCACTTCAAGAAAAGTGGAACAAAGTCTTTATTAATCTGTGGCATTTTTAATGCCCCAACACCAAGTTGTGTACAAGTGAATATGGCTTAACTGGGCTAATAATGTCAGTGAACACACTGAAAAAAAAAAAAAAAAACACTTCAGTGCTTAGCCTAATGTATCATATTCTAAAAGGGCAATTTGTTTGCTTTACTTACAATAAAAATATTTTAAAATAGAACATCAAAACAATACACTTTTTAAACAATCAGCATTATGTTTCCCTTGAAAACAAGGGTGGGACCCTTACAGAAAATCTGCGCTTACTTTCACACTGTATGTTTTTCAAAGCAAAGTCACTCAGAGTTAAGCATCAGCTTAATGTGAAAAGTCTGAATCCTACAACAATTTGACTAAATGCCACTGTACTCAGTCATTAATGTACCTTCCACAAGTCCTTATATTTAAATATTTGAAATTTCAAGGTCCAAGTAAGACCAAGACAAAAACTTTAACTTAGTCTAGATAGCTGAAGTAGAAAAGCATCTATATTAATTTTATTAAAAGAGAGTTTTAAATATATATGGTAAATTATTACAAAATAACATTTCTGTGAATGAAAGAAAATGCTTTTATTCCCGAAGGCATTTAAGTGAACACAGGAATGCGACATGCAGTGTGTAAGGAGGACCCTTAATACCATCGCAGGTTGTATTGACAACAGTCTGAATTGGCAGTATCTCTAATCATCACTGTGTAGCAATTTTGCTGCACCTGAAATAAGCTGTAGCTGTTCCTAAGACAGTGATCAATGGCGACCACCATTTGTGCACACTGAAGTACCAGGGCAGCTTACCTCGGCTGCTGGAAGAAGACCTCGATGATGAGCGTGACGAGGAGGAAGAGGAGGATGTTGTGGAGGTACCAGAAGATGATGTGGATGACACTGATGATGATCTGCTCCTACTACGTTTTCTTTTCCTTTTTTCTTTTCCTTAGGATGACACAAGGCAGCAGTGACAAGCACGCAAACAAGTGTGATGAAAAGACGACTCTTCACATGAGTTAAACGCAGCAAACCTCTATCTTTGAGGGCACTTCCTGATCTCTCCGTGTCATTGTCTCATGCCATCAGCAGGCGACAACGCTGCCAACGACACTCAAACCCGTCCCCTCACCTACAGTGTGGCACAGGCAGCAACACCAGCACGCAGCAGCGCGACACCTACCTCGGGCCTTCAGCTCCTCTTGCGACGTTGCGCACAGCGACCTGCTCCGCTCCTCCTTCCTGCTGTCCATGCCTGCGGACACAAGCGCATTCAACACCTTCGTCCCCAAAGCCTCAGGGCAGCGGGAGCAACGGGGCAGCCTGGTAAGACCCTTCCCATTCCTCACAAAGCGCCTCGCGCGCTGCAGCAAAGCCTTGCTTGGGGCTCGTAAACTGGGGACAAACCCGGGGCTTCTGTCACTTCTTGTGAATGTGAAGCTACAGAAGGGGTTTGGAGGGTTTTGTAAGCTGTTTGTTTGGGTGTTTTTCATGTGTGTGCGTGGGGAGGGCCTGCAGCTTCCCCGAGGGCTCTCGGCTGCCCGCAGGCCCACGCGGAGGGCTCCTGCTTGGCACAGGCCGAGCCCTCCACGCCGCGCGGGCCGCTGAGGGCGCCGTCCCGCGGCTGCGCTTCCCGGCGAACCGAGAAGCTCCCAGCGCCCGCGCCGCCGTGCCCCAGTTCCCCGGTGTGCCGGGCCGGCCGCACTCACCGCCGCCGCGGGCCGCCCCGCCCGGCCCCGGCCCCGGCCCCGGCCCCGGCGCCGCTTCCGCCGCCGCGCCGCGCCGCCCCGGACGGAGTCGCGCGCGGGAGGGACCGTTAACGGCCGCGCCCCGCCCCGCCCCCGGGCGCGTGACGGGCAGACGCAACGGCCGCAACGTCGGTTACTGCGACGCGTTCCGCGCGCGCGCCGGGGGCGTCTGCCCAGAGAGGGGCCTGCCCCGTGGCGGGAGGAGCCCGCGCAGCGACAAATCTGTCAATAAATACATAAAAATACTCTTGTGCGCTGGCGTAGGGGCACTCTGTGCTCTGTGAGCTCCTACCTACCCACATACAACATCACTGAACAGCTTTTTGTTGTCTTTTTCCATGCAACATCTAGCTTCTTCCATAACATCCATACAATACAACATTTTTCTTTCTTTATTAAGAATGGGAAGCTATTTAAAATCCAGCTTACAGTAGTAAAAAACCTTGAAAAACTAAACACAGAACTTGCAACTGTTTTAACAAAATGAACACATTTAAATAAAGTTTGCTTTAGAAAATTGATTTTTCTCAACTGATTCCTTATAAAACAGGCAGTATTTCCAAAGGCATGTTTCCATTGCCCAGAATGAGTCATTTGTGCTTTGAAATTTTAAAAGAAATATCCACGGGAAAAAAACAAAACCAAAACCAGCAGGTCAGTAGAGGAAGAGAGATTGCCATATAAAACTAATACGCTTCCAAAATCCCTCCAAGGACACACTAAACACCTACCAACATCACAAGGCCATCACCTATTCTAACACTTAGAAATGGAGTTTTAATAATACTTAGCTCCTGTCATGCTCAAAATTCTTCACAAAACACTTAAAGACTCCTAACACTTCTGCAAGTATTATTATTATTATCCCCGTTTTACATTTGGGGTGGTGGAGACAGTGAGGGGTAGCAATTCCCTTACGTACAGGCTGTGCTGTATCCCTCTTGCCTTGGTTCTCTCAAAGTTCTTGATCACTTTCTGTATTTTACACTTAACACACTAAAGATTTCTAGCAAATACGAGCACTACGTTTCCAACCAGATTAGTAGTTATTATTCCAGTTGTGCTACTTGGACAGTTACATGGCTAACGTTAAAGGAATAATCAACATGAAGCCCACATCAATGACTCATAATTTATGTCCCACCATGCCACACCATTTCACAACTAGCTTATTCTTTATGCAACAAAGTACTCTGGACATCAGGTCTGATTCTCTCCGTCGTACAGACGCAACATGGCTGTTACAGTCAATAGGGACTGCACAGGGGAAGAAAATTTGGCCCTCAGCATCCATCCTTGGGAACAGTGAAAACCCCTACAGTGGTGTGGTATACACGACGTTGTATGGCAAAAAGGATATAAGTACCATATAAACTGAAGCAGTGCTGAAAGGTGCTAACTCACCAGAAAGCATGGATAACTTAGTATGGATAACTTTACCTCCTCCAACCCCATTTTGAAAATATTTGTGTCTGAATTATGTCCTAGAAAACATACAAGGAAATAAATGCCTAGTAATGAGATTTTAGATACAAAACAGGGTATTTTGCCTTCACTTCATTATCAATCTTGAAATTGTATTATTTCAGGTGATATTGGCAATCTGCACAGAAAGTCTGGACATTTTGGATTTTGCCACATTTGCCTTCTTCTTGATTTTTCTACTTTATTCTTTGCACTCTGTGACCCATTTTGTTTGTTTGTTTGTTTTTAGCCTGCCTAGTTTACTCTTATTGTAAATCCAACTTAATTTCTTACTGTCTTTTGAAAAATACCAGATTTCTCTGCCACTGGACTGCAGGAGCAATGGGATATGTTTAATGTTTCAATACCTGATCTGTAAGATGACATAAGAGACAAAGAATTCCGTCACTTATAGCAACAAAATGACTGATTGTGCAAAATTAGATCCCTCTCACAGGTTTCTGTAAGGCTTTTGGAAGGCACATGTATTCTTTGTTACTTGTTTCCCAGTGCCTGAGCTTAGTGTTTTTATTCTGTCTCCAATAAAACATGTACAATTCATGCACTTCGGTGCAACAGGGAAGGAGCTTGGCATAAAAATTAAGATCTTCAGAAGTATTTCTCAGTTCTCAGTAGCTGTATTTCCTTTTAACACGTACTAGCTCTTCACTACCAGCAAGAACTGGGTTCATCTCCTAATCCGTTTTCTCCCTCCACAATCAAACATTCAAACTTCTAGCAGAGGGGAACAGTGCATGTAACATGGGACTTTCCACTAGCAGATATCCAAAGCCTTCTGCAGAGCTGGGAGGCCAGAAAAGATTTATTTTGCATGGGTGTGTGAGCAGAAATACTGCAGCTTCACCCCCTTTCTTCCAGCAGTGCAGCCGAGAGCTGTCAGGCTGGCTGAGTACCCCATTTATGGCCATATCCTGAGAGGTGACAAGTCCTTTGACTTCAAAGGGGGGACTGTGGAGGATTATCACCAATTGGACTCAGTCCCAAGGCACTAGGCAGGCACAGAGATGCCATTAGCAAAGCTATTGTGAGCTGGGGTACTCACTGCAGCTGCAACATCAAGGTTAGAAAAGCAAGAGGCACTGGCACCTTCCTCTGGACTTTCTGGAAAAGAAGAAAAGGGGAATGCAAGATCCCTGGCTAAGGTTTCCCCTGCCTGGCTGAAGTTATTCTCCCTGCTTCAAAACCTCAGGCAGTTGAGGGATCATGACACATTAATTCAGATGTGCTAGCACTGAAGTGCTTCCATTTCAGACGAGTGAAATGCAGACTGTGATGATGGATGTGATAGTTCTGAGTCACTAACGGGAACCCACAGGCCTGCTTGGGCTCCAGAAGGTTGACTGGAGGAGATTCATCCCAAAATGATGGGATTGTCTTCTGATGGGAGCCAAACACTCACCCCCAGCACGTACTGAGCAGAGTCAAAACCCTGGTGCGAATGTATGTTCACAGCATCAAACTGGACTTACAGCTGCCCTAAAACCAGTCTTGAAAAAGTTAAAAAACAAAGGTTGACACTTTGGCAATTCATTAGTTGTTATGCAGTCGAAAAGCCTCGATAACCTTATCAATAGCTTAACTAGTGGCAATTCACTATTGCATGGCTGGTGGTCACCAAAAATTTCTGAATAGTCAAATCAGTCCCATTATCAAGATTTTTTTTCACAGCTCCTCCAGATCAGTTAAATCCACAACTACTTTCAAGAAGAGAGTGTCATCTTTGATGTAGGTATTTTTTGTGTTCTCTAAAACAGTGTGTGGCACGAAGCGTGGACAACCAGAGGCAATATTCATTTCTCCATCCGGCCTTTTGAAACTGCTGCTGTTGGGGTCAGCTCTGAAAACTTCCACAATGTGATTTTTTTTCCCGCTTTGGTCCAAAAGCATAAGTGTAACTTTTTGCTTGAAGGGCCACGGCAGCAGCGAGTCAAACTCCCCTCTCATCACAACGAAGTAGAGCGAGACGTGTGTTCCCTTTCCAGAGCCATCCCCATTCAGATAAGCTCTCGCACACAACCTGTACCCGCAGCGGCTGGTGTAAAAAGGCTGGCTGAATATAGAGAGGACACGGCCTTCCACTGCTTCTTTTTTCTTCATCTTGTAGTCCATGATTTTCCAGATTAGCTTTCCATTGTAACACGTGCCTTCCAAAAGCTTAAAGCGTTCTTCGTTTTTATTGAGCTGTGCTTTGTGAATGTTGATCTGCAGGTCGTGCTTGTTGGACTGACCTTCCAAAACAACTGGGGAAAAAAGAGAGAAACATTCAGTTCAATAAAACTGTGAAAACACCTGATACAAAGAGCAACCAAACTTGAGTTAACAGTACTTAATTACTCAAGACCAAGGCTGAAGACTAAACTGTGGCATTACATCCAACAGCTTCTCAGAGACAACTAACTTTCTAGGCCAGGCCAGTCCACTCAGCCTTTTGCCAATATTATGCTCGAGTCAAAATAAACTCTTAAATGACAGTAGCAAAAAGCTCCATTTATCTATTGGTTAGTCCTACTCTGGAGATATCACCGAGAAGCAAAATTTGCATCTGGATTCCATGGTTATAGAAACTCTTTATTTGGACTCATTTGCTGCATATATTCATGTTCTGGTAACTAATGGGAGTTCCACCCTGGCAAATGCTAACATTATCAGACTGTGACAGGAACCACGTGAAAATCAGCATCAACTCTGGGCCTGACTCACCTAAAGAGGGAACCTAAAGTAATGCCATGGAAGAGAAACAAGATCCTAGCCTTGCTGCACATACAGCAGCAAAGGATAGAGCCTGGCCTACAAGAGCTGCCTTTTCTGTTCTAAAGATCCATGTTGATGCCCACTCTGGTGCTGAAAACCACATCTGACCTGACTGTTTTCCATCCCCTCCCACAATATACTCTTTGATCTACAGTGAGTTTTCTTAGGGTAGGGGTCGGAGGTAACATATAGCCGCTGGGATACAAGTATGTTTCCTCTCTGATTCTGTTGACTTCTCTCCCAAATCTCAGCCTTTACTTTTCATT